TAGCAGCATGGCTGTTAAAGCCCAAGTCCCCTGAATGACAGAGGCCTTTCGGGTGCTATCATCCCTATGCTCCTGAAGGCTGGGAAATTGACCTCCCGCAAGGTCGGTCTACTATCGCTTGGAAGGCTTATTTCGCTTTGTGCATAGTAAGGATGTTCCATGCTAGAAAATACAGCAAGGGATGCATTTTATCCTTTCTTCAGTCTGGCCTGGAACAGCATTTAGCCTTGAGTACCATCAAGGGTCAATTTCTGCCTTGTCCATCAGGTAGCGAGAGACAATTGGACTGAAAAAGAATGAAGTCCTCTGTACAGGGAGTCATCCATATTGTCCACCCTGCATGTGCCCTGATTGCCCCTTTTGAACCGTTGAGAAATATCCCTCTAGCCCTTCTCACTTGCAAGGTGGCCTTCCTCGTCACCATCACTTCTACTAGGCACGCTTCTAAATTGGAGGCCTTGACTTGCATGAAGCCATTTCTTATCGTTCACTCAGATAAAGTGGTGAGGCCTAAGGACCTCTTTCTGTTCCTAAGGTGGTCTCTGCCTTCCACCTTAACCAGGACATTGTTTGTTTTACCTTCCTGGTGTCCTGCATCAAAGCATCCAAGGTATTTCTCTACACTGTTTAGACTTGGTTTGGGCAATTAGAGTTTACCTCTCTGCAACAGCTTCTGTTCATAAGTCCCACATGGGACAACTAGCCTTTTGCTCTACTACAGCTAGGTGGATTTGTTGGGCTATCACCCAGGACTAGGAGCTGAAGGGGACAGTTTCCCTCTTCCCAGCCAGGGCACACACTACTAGAGCATTAGTGCTTCTTGGGCACACCTCTGTTTCTAGTTCCCTGTTAGGGTGGTTGTTGTTGTTCTTGGGTCTGTTAGCGGTTGGACTGTTTTTGGACATCCCATTGGTTAAATAATGTAATTCCTTGTGTCCTGTGATGTATGAAAAGGAAAACAGGATTTTTGTCTTACCTCTAAAATCCACTTGTTGGAGTACATCACATGACACAGGACTCTCCTTTTTTGTTTTCTGTGATCCACTCTGTACTGCTTGCTATAAAACCGAGACAGGCTGGGAGTGGGAAGGGTTATGCAGCACTGTCTTGCAGCTTGGATTGATTGATAGATACCTGGCGGTAGCTGCATAACCCAGTGGTTTAAGGCATTAAACTACCTCTGTCCTGTGAAGTACGATGAAGATAGTTGATTAGTTGTTTCAGGCCCAGAAACATATACTAAGTAAATAATAAGTGATAATGATAATCGTTGTCAACTAGTTTCATTATCGATTAGTTGAGTTACTTGCATCTCCCCCCTTCACCCAATTTTCACTGACCGAGATCAAGGGGGTGGGCGCCACGACCGCAAGACACGCCCACACCACGATCGTCACCAGGGAAGATTGTTGCGTGTCCCGGGGGATACTGCTCATAATTAGGTGAGATGCCAGGGAACTGGGGACACACTGGCTGGGGCTGAGGTACGGGTAGAATGTGGAGGCCATTTGAGTCCTGACTGAACCGAAGGGAACTGGAGAGGAGTGGGCAAAAGAGGATGGGGTGAAGGCGCCTCGGGACTGGAACATACTACTCGGCTGTCACAGAGCAGGAAGGAGAGCACTGACCATAGCCGGGGCTGCTGTCAGTGTGCTTGGGTACATGTCCATGTCACCTATTGAGATCTGTCATTACCTGATGGGGAGGAGTATCTGTTATTACATGGTGGGGAGGAATGTTGTACAGTGTGCGTGTATTATGTGTTGCTTGTGTGCTGTGTTTGCAGCGGACAAATTTAAGCCTGTAAAGCCCATGACACACTGCATGTGGAGCCGCGCACAGTAAAGGGAAGTGGCGGTGCGCAGCGCTTCGCATGCAGTGTGTCTAGCAATATCTCCCACACTCTAGGTGAGAGCGGAGTGTGGCGAGATGAAACATTTTATCTTTAGCCAATCGGCTCACACGTATGAATCTGAGTCAGGATGCAGATTCAAGAGCGCAGACAATCCTCTCACCAGACAAAAGCATCTGGTGAGAGGAGTCCTGGAGAGAAGTCTTCTTGGTAATTGTTTTTCTTCCTGCACAAGTTCTTTCTGTAACATATGCCAGGGATGAGAGGTATATAAAAAGAATGAATATGATATGTCTATTAAATCATTAAACTTTTAAATAAATCATATTTAATATTTTAATAAGCAATATATAATAATTAAATAACTAATATTTATTAACAAAATAATTAATAATAAGTAATTCATTAAAAATTTATTTTTGTATCCGATCGAAAAAATAATCGGCCAACTAATTGATTATGAAAATAATTAGTTTCTGCCCTATAGGTTTCTCCTGTCAATGTGGCATTTCTTGTATGCTTTTTTTTTTAAACCTGTTAAATAGTGTAGAATGGTGCGAAAAACATCTTTTTACATTACTTTATGGCAATATAACTTAAAGTGTTTGTAAACAATAACAATTAACTTTTCTCACTTGCCCCTTTTGGTCAGTTAAATTTGCCTTTGAAATAGTTTTGTTAAGTGCCAAAATTGCCTGTTGATTGTCAGAAATTTAGAGCTGTCCTGTTCCAAGGTTTACATCCTGTGTTCTCTTGGGGATGAATTAGCCTTTCCAATCCACATCTTGGTGTCATACTCACCTGTGCCTTGTTCCACCATCGGGTCTTTCCAGACAAAGGCTGCCGATACCACAGGAGCTATCTGAAAGGATGAGTGCAAATGTTGATTGGCATACGAGTAACACATCCGTATATAAGCTGTGTAGCCGGTGTTTGTTGCCATCTGAAGATCCCTGCATACCCTTGTGACTTCCTTCAGTGTGCCCAGCATGTTTCTGTGTTCTCCTGAGAGCTTCCCTGAGTTCTGCTAGTGAGCTCTCAGTGTCTTGCACTCCTAAAGCTCCTAGAGGTCTATGACCCTGTTGTACTTTTCACCCTTAAGAGCCAGTGCTTCCTGCTCAGGTTGCTGCATGCTCAAGTGAGTTAGGGCCGAAACCTGGAAGATGCCTTCGACAAAACCCATCACCCCTTGCAGGGTGCTCTGGTGAATACCAGCTGGTCAAACTGCACATTTCAGACAATTCTTGATGAACTGGCCAAAATTTGCTCCGTGGGTGACCCTATCGGCAGTTTTCCATCAGGCATCCTTCAATCAGAAAATCGAAGAGCTAAAAAGTGACGGCAACCAATCGGCTGCTGTCACTGTTTGGGTATTCTTACAGCAGCATACCTGCCACTGTCAGAATACAACAGCCCAACAGGAAATTCATCCATCCATGCTGTTTAGCATGGATGGAGGAATCCATTATATTTTTTTCATTCAGGCCATAGTTTAAAAGAACATTTTTTTTATATGTATAGCCAGCAGCTATAGATTCTGCACATTGGCCCTTTCGAGGGCTCTAACCTCCCCTGAATGGGCAAGCACTCCTGAGTCCTGCTCCTTCCGAGTGCCTGGAGTATCTGGTCACCCCAGTGTTCAGTGTCAATCCATGTTGTCACAGCTTCTGAAAACCTCTGTCTTCTCTCAGTCCTGCGCCTCCACACAGCTTCAGTCTCAAACACCTTAATCCTGGTGTGCCCTGTTCCTAGCACAGTCTCCTGACTGTGACACTTGGCACGCAGAATGATTAGCCTTTATATTGTGGAGATGGAGAGTAAAGCTGGCCATACACCTCTGAAAGTTTAGCTGATTTCTTCTGAACTGGCCGATCAGAGGGTTTCCCTGCACTAAGCAGGGTGGTAAATTATCAGCTGAACAGTGGCTGCATCCTACGAGATGCATTCTATGTTGCTGTATTCAGGCAGTTGCAGGCTACTTGAATGCAATAGTTGGCAGTGGAGATTCCTCAATCTGTGCTGTTTAACCATGTATCGTAATGAAAATTTAGGTGAGTATGGCTTGCTTAGAGTGAAAGTAGTGTAATTTAAAAAATTGCTGACAGGAAACTTTTGTTTGGCAGAAGAGACTGTGCAAACCTCTTCTGCCAAAAATCTATTACCTGCCTGTCAACATTTTTTTCTGTGCACTGAGCTGCAGATGCACAACTCAGTGCACAAACTCTGGCTGGCCAATCAAGAGGTCGAAGACGCTGAACCCAGAACAACACCGTAAAAAAGACAGGGAAGAGCAGACAATGCAGCACTCGAGGGTATCGGTTTGGCAGGCAAGTGGGCCATAACGTGCTAATATGCTGTGCCATAATTGCACATTATGGCAAACATTACTGCACCACTTTTTTCCGGGAACACTTAAAGCAGAAGTTAAGTGGGTCTAAATAGTTTGGCAAGAGAAAACTTGGCAAAGCCCACAACGCTTAGTCCAAAATGCTGTGTTACAAGACCACAACATGACTTTCTGCCCTGAGCTGCTTTCATTGAAATATACATTGAAAATGTATATTTACAGGCAGTAATTTTGCATACAAGGGTTTATTAACACTTGCAATGGGGCTACCCCTGCACTGCAACGATTAACTGCTCCTTTTTGTCTAGGTGCTGAAAAAAAAAGTTATACTTAGCCGAACCACTAAGCCGACTTCTTCTTTTCCGGTCTCTGAAGCCTGACTTCTATGCTGCAGCACTAGAATGTTCCTCAGCATCCTCACGTCTATACACTGTGTATAGAACGTGATCATTTTCGGGACCTTAGACCACTGCAACAGAGGCGGGGGAGGAGAGAGGCCAGAAGGACCTAAAAACAAGCTGAACCGCCGCAGTTCATGTATAACTTTTTTTTTTTTTTTAGCACCTAAACAAAAATGACAAGTTAGCCCTTGCTTTGCAGGGGTAGCCCCATTGCAAGGCTTAATAAAACTTTTGTCTGGAGTTCTTCTTTAAACGCTACCTGTTGTACATTGTAACCATTGGGTTTATAGCAAAATAATTAACCCATCTTTTAAAATTGAAAAATATGAAATGTTTATTTTGTTAAATATATTACGGCAATTACATGTTTTGACAGATTTTTTTTTTCTTTCTTTTCTAGTATATGTTGTAGAGGAGAGAAGGGATAACTCTGGGGAAGGTGCCTGCCTAACAGCTTGCTGGACTGCCCTTTGTTGCTGCTGCCTTTGGGATATGTTGACATAATTATTTAAAGAAGACAGAATGAGCAAAAAAAAGCCAGAATGTGCAATGCCTGTATGCCATTTTACTTTTTTCCCTCACTTTGTGTTTTGTTTTAATGAAATCAGTTGATTACATGTTCTACCCTATCTTATTTAATAAATTGTAATTTTGTTTTTCATATTGTTGAATGACTTGTTCACAGAAGCTAAATGCACACAAGTCTTTTTTTGTTGTTGTGGCTACTCTAGAACACTTTACAGTAATGTGTTTTCTCCCTGTGCTCTTCATTTGTTTTCTCTACTGCTTGTGCCCTTTGAATGTCAATTTTAACAGGAATCACTTTGCCTTTCCTTCTTTCAGCACACAACAAATGCAACACTGCTTGTACAGAAAGGCCAAATGCTTGTGTGCATTTAGCTTCAGAAAGCTTGTTTGCCTTGCCACTCATAACTGAGTGATAGCTGAAACGGTGAGTCAGCTGTCCATTTACCAAATGAAAATACATTTGTATGGAGCATATAGAATCTGATGGTTTTTTCTCTCTACTGGAAATTGTAATTGTTACTATGCAACTATTAAAGAAATAAAGCATGTGCAAATCTTGTAATTCTATTTATATTTTACATTTATCGTTGTGTTTGGTTTTTTTCTTCTACTCCTAAGTTTAAACTTCACACCAGTGTTTGTATGCATCTTCCACTTTTCACCAAAGCACTGGCACACAACAAAATATATATATATATTTTTTTTTTTTTTTTTTTTTTTTTGTACCTTTTGTAAAATCCATTTCGTAGAGTCCATTGAGAGACACAGGAATTATATATGGAATATACAGTGGCTTGCAAAAGTATTCAAGTATCCAAGGGATTTTATGGTTCACTCTGTTGCCCTGTGAGACACAGGAACAGTATATTACCAAGAGATGTCCAGCCAAGGCAGCCAATCCCAATAAGAGTAGACACAAAAAACTGATCCTTTTTGATTGGGTTAAATAGCTTCCTGTCAAACCAGATTCAGAATCTGTGGTCGGAGAGAAAATCCAACTGGAGAAGATACAAGTGGCTATTTATCTAATGAACCTGGAAATAGCCACCAATGGTCTCTAAAAATAAGAAAAAAAAACCCAAGTCAAGTCATGATCGAAGACAAGGTACAGGTCTCTGTGTCGAATGGATGCGGAAGCTTCTTGCTGTCACACAAATGGAAATAGGTTTTTCACGGCTGGTAGTACACCTTAAGGGAAGTAGTATTACCTGCCTATAGCTTTTTTGGGCTGACTGATTTAAAAAAAAAAATCAATCTCTCAAGCCTCAAAAGCCATGAGGCTAAAGCCAGCAACTTACAGATTGCACCGTGGGATAACAGATTTGGATGATGTAAAAGTAGGCCAGGACTGTCAATATTTAGACTAGCAAGAGATGTATGAAGAATGAGACCTGGAGACACGAGATTCAGTGCCTAGCCACACTACAACATCCTGCTTTAAAAGGACACACTAGACTCTGGGGGTGCTGTCATGTTCTCAAATTAATTTTGACTAGGCAGATGAGGATAGGAATTCTTCCTGCCACTTATGCCCAGCAATTTGGTAAAGACTCACAGTAATGAAGACATACTCAAAGGAAGCACTACAATCTAAGAATGATGCTTTCCCACTGATGATATCCAATAAAAGGGAACCTATAGAAACTAGAAAATCTCTTGAATGCAGAGATGGGTAAAGAGGGATTCCATCATAAACTTCTGAGGGTATAAGAATGTGTACAAGCCCTCTGGCCTAGAAGGGAAAAATACCCCTCTTGGAGTATGAAAAAAGTGACAGTGTCTGAATAACCATGAAAACCTTCCTGCAGCTGGAACAAGATCAATGACCCCATGGTCTAACAAGATGAACCTGCAAAATCCTGGGTGCTCACTGGAAGGTTCAGGGGGAAAACGATCTATTGATTGTGCAGCACAGGACACAGGGAGTTACGGTAATTCTTCCCACTATAATGGTAATTATGCCGCTACCTTCAGGTGATTGGAAACTGGCATATCAAAGCTCCCGAGTCACCTGCTGCTCAGAAGGTGGTAAGTCAGGCCTTGTCTCTACCCATGAACCAGTTTCTGCCCCTTCCCCCTTTGGATCACAGTTGGGTTTCCAGTGGCAAACACTGTCCCCCTCTATTTCTTAAATTGTGTCTTTTCCTGGGTTTTTGAGCAGCCTGGTTAGTCGCTTGGTGCCTGTGCAGCCTCCTTCTTGGGATTCCTAATGTGCGTGCCATTTTCCTTCCTGATAGGCGCTGAGCTGGCTATATATGCTGTTGTGACCATACTGATGGAGTCCAGATCTCTACCAACCTACGGTGTTGGCTCATTGGGCATCCTCTTCCAGAGTTATGAATACTGGGGTCTTTCCCTCAAGCAATGGCAGATCATAGACATGGGGAGGCATGGGCCTCAGGCTTTGGGGTCTCACAGCCTAACATTTATTCTGTCCCTTCTGGAGATGCTGTCTCTGCTAGCCTAGTAGCCCTATGTAGTGCTCCTTTGCCGCTTCACTTACTGCCTCAAGGTACTCTTCGGTACCCTCCTTTACAATGCCAAGAGAGGAATTTACTGCTGAAATTGTGGAATTTATGGGATAATTTGTCTGCACTTTTAGAGACTGCAGGAAGTGTAAGCAGGCCCCCTCTCCTTCCCCTTCAGAGTTTACCTTCACCTGTGCTCATGCCCTCCCTTAAGAAGATGATGAAGGGGCTGCTTCCAGTTAAGTGGATTCAGCTCAGGAAGAGGACCTGTCTCCCATTTCTCTTCCAAACAGACACTATCTTGTTCGTGCTCAAACCTGCCACAACCTTCCCTGTACAAAAGCTTTTACAGCTGGTGTATGGTATCACCCTGAAAACAGTTTACTGCATCTAAACCACTCCTAAATGGCAATACCCTATTGAATAGGGCAGTGTGGGACACTTGACGTTCCATTGTCTAGACTCAACAACAAGCTGGACAGGTTTGTCCCCAGCACCAAGGGACCCCAGTGCCTATACAGTGAATACCTTGGTGACACCATAAGATCAGTTCAGCTAGATTTATACCTTCCTTCTAATCTCTTGCCTCACTTCCTTCCATCAGAGGATCGAGACAGAGGGTATTCCAGTGATCCTCCATTGCTCCTAACTGACTACATCCGCGTACTATGGTCTCCTAAGCCAATTATTTGCAGACTCTCTATGGGCACCTCCTGTTTTTCCACACCTACTGTCCCAAGGATTGGTGTTCCACTCCACTTAGTTTTTGGCTTTAACAGCCTGGCTCTTCAGATGCAAGTGCAGGAGGTCTTGTGGAAGCTGTGAAAGCTAGGAAATCGGTCTCCCTCAAGGTCTACCTTTGCACCTGGAAGGTTCATTTTACTTGGTACAAAGCAAGGATGTTTCATCCTAGGAATCTTTCCTTGAGTCTGGCCTAGTAATATCAAGGAGCAGATTTCTGATTTGACTATTTCCAGAGGCCACTTACATCTTAGTCTCTAGTAAAGGCCATTGTGCAAGGGAGTGTCTCACATTGTCTGCACTCTAGTGACTCTGTGGGACCTTAACTTAGTTCTGTCAGCACTGCAGAAGCTGCACTTCGAACCTTACAGAAAAAATTCCTGTGACCCTACTCACTCACAAGGTTCCCTGCCTTGTTGGCAGGCAACCTTGTGAACTTCTTCCAAACAAGTTTCTGAGTTGGCAGCCTGGTCTTGTAAAGAGCCAGTTCTGGTTATGCACAAGGATTAGGTAGTACTGAGGCCTCCATTCTTTCAAAAGTGGTCTCCACCTTAACCAGGACACTGTTTTACCATTCTTATGTCCTATGCCAAAGCATTCTAAAGAACCCTCTCCACTGTTTGTAGCTATTTGAGTTTACCTCTCTGCTATGACTTCCATCCACAGGTCTGACTCCCTGAAGGTCCCTGTATGGAGTAGCCAGCTTTTCACTCCACTATCGTTTTGGTGGACTCAGTGAATTATCACTCAGGCCTTTAAGGTGAAGGGTAACATTCCCCTCTTTCTGGTTGGGGCTTACTATACTACCAGTAGGAGTTTTAGTACTTTTTTTGGACCATCCTGTATTAGGCTTTGGTTACAAAAATCTGTAATCTTAAACTCAGTTTTTTCCCCAAAAAAATCAATGCAGGTATATGAGACTTGGCATAATCTGTGTGCTTTTTCTTTCTGTGCAGCCGTTTCTTTAAAATCTTTCTTCTTAGTGCTGGCCAGGACTTAGTCTGACTGCTTCCTCTGACTGTAGTCTGCCTCCCTGCATTCAGACAGGCAGCCTGATGTCTGGAGGACATTTTGATTGAGGATAGCTCCGTGTCTCACCATGTGACTCATCTTCTCTCGACACTAGTGCTTTTCTTTCCCTTTTTTTTTTAATCAAACTTTATTTATAACGTACATAGACTATGGAGCAATTTCCATTCTATCCTTTTTTCTTTTTAGGTCATGGTGAATTCTGGTTGGCTGGTTGTTTTGCATAGCAAATTAGCACAGTCACCATTACAAGCAGGCTAGGTCATCTAAACAGTGTTTTAGAGGTGTTTATTTTTTTTTAATTGGTTGTTTTTGTGCGCTGATCGACGTGTTCTTTTTTTTTCTTCAATGGACTCCATGGTTTACATAGATTACGTCACTGAAAGTCCCAATTTAAATGCATTTGATCGCTGGAATTTGCGATTTCATCTCTGGACGCCATTCAAATGAATGCCACCCCAAATGCACCTCCTGCCCACAATGCATTCAACTGCACCGCAATGAGTAACCCAACACCCTGCATTGTGGTACAGTGCTTATGAAAGAAATAGTGCATGCACTATTTTTCCCCCCCAAATGCAACGCAACACAGGCTATTGCATTAATGCACATTGCGGCACAGTCGAGTACATTGCGGGCAGGAGGTGCATTTGGAGTGCCATTTAAATGATAATTCCCATTAATATACCACAAGCGAAGGAAGGGGAATTTTTTTTAAAAATAAAATCACTCTCCAGTGAATAAAAAGAAATATAGCCTCCACAGCCCTAATTTCATCAATGTAGCAATCTTATTTGAAATCAAACAGTGCAGAGTATTTAGTGCATACATGCGCTCGTATTTATCAATAAAAAAAATAGAGTCCTCAACCGATGTTTTAGTGCTCTACAAAAGCAGTCCACTCCAATCACCCAGGGG